AAAAGAACGAAACGAGAGAGGGTGTGCTTTCTGTTTGTTTTTTATGTTGAAATGCTGCTACCTAGTGATCATTTACAAAATGGCAGGACTTAGGGGGTTTTTCTGTGTTTTTTAAAATTTTATCTTGTGTTTGTTGAGCATGTCTCTATGCCACAACAAGTATCTAAATGCTTAACGATGCATTGGTTAATTATCAGAATGAATCACTGAATAATTTATGCTTTATAAAAACACAGTAGTGGCAAAAACTAGATTGAAACATTTGGGAAAAAAATGGCTTCCAGTCCCTGATCTGCTGGTGTCAGCTTTGTGATTTTGAGCCAGGATAAAATTTATTTACGGGCCCTATCTTGTTCCAAAATTTTAGAAGAAGCTCTGTAAGGTAGTGGTGAGGAGCATGGCTTTGGGACAAGCTCCTTAACTGCTCTAAACTTTAGTATCCTAATCTTGAAAATGGGAGTAACAGCCACGGTAGTTTTGACATGTAAAAGTGCTTCCAGACTGTAATCCCGCGCCCTTGGGAGGCTGAGGTGAGTGGATTGCCTGAGCCCGCGGGTTCGAGACCCGCCTGGGCAGGCAAGACCTCATCTCTACGATAAATCAAAAAATCAGCCAGGCGTGGTAGCGCGCGCCTGTAATTCCGGCTACTTGGAAGGCTGAGGCGGAAGGATCGCCGGAGCCCAGCAAGTTGAGGCTGCGGTGGCCAGGAGCGGCCACTGCACTCCAGTCTGGGCAACAGAGTGAGACTCCAACTCCAAAAAAAAAGAAAGTGCTTCCCTCAGAACACATCTCAGAAAAAGTTAGAATATGAGGACTTTCCCTCCCAGGATGTGTATTACGGGCAACAATCCTTTATCTGCCAGTTTAAAATTAGTTACTCCTTCCCATTCTATCCCAAAGAAGCAAGCACAAAGCTCTAGGATGCTTAGAATAATCAGCTGATTTGAAAAGCACATCTGAACAATTCAATTTAAAAAATAATGAATACAGATAAAGGTAAGATGGCAGCTGGAATTTTACAAATCACTTGAAACTTGGAATTGCTGATTATTTTTAAAAGGTAAGATAATGACAGGGACATCAAGGGTTGGCTGTTCCAGCTGATTCTGTCACTACCAGGTATCCTACGGATGTCTGATGTGTTTAATACATCCCAGCCAGAGAAAGTCTAACTCTTTCCTTTCCCCGGCAATCAAAATGAGTGTTCGAACCGCCCTGGATTTTATTTCACAGGTCAGAGAACTAGTCTGCTTCAGGATCAGCATCATCTGAAACAGAGGTTTTCTACTACCACTTTACTTCTTCACCCAATAGGATGTTTCCGTAGGAAGTCAACATATCTAGATGATTAATTTCAGTTATTGCTGTCCATGCTGACGTGTTGGCATCGCGCACAAAGTTTTTTTTTTTGAGTTGGAGTCTCACTCCGTCACCCAGACTGGAATGCAGTGGCCGCTCCCGGCCACCACAGCCTCGACCTGCTGGGCTCCGGCGATCCTTCTGCCTCAGCCTTCCAAGTAGCCGGAATTACAGGCATGTGCTACCATGCCTGGCTGATTTTTTGATTTATTGTAGAGATGAGGTCTCGCTGCCCAGGCGGGTCTCGAACCCGAGGGCTCAGGCAATCCACTCACCTCAGCCTCCCAAAGGTGCGGGATTACAGGCTGAGCCACCGAGCCTGGCGCGCACAAACTTTTTAAAACAGCTTTATTAAGGTATAATTTAGATGTCAGATAATTTGCCTAAAGTGTAAAGTTCTATGAGTCTTAGTTAATTTATACAATTGTGCAGCCATCGCCACAGTCCTGTTTTAGAACAGTTCCAGCGCTTACTGTACATTTGACCAGCACCATTCTGAAGTATTTATTGGATCATTAACCCATGCATTTTTATTTTATTTATTTATTTATTTATTTATTTTTGAGTTGGAGTCTCACTCTGTCGCCCAGACTGGAGTGCAGTGGCCACTCCCGACCACCACAGCCTCGACCTGCTGGGCTCCGGCGATCCTTCTGCCTCAGCCTTCGGAGTAGCTGGAATTACAGGCGTGTGCTACCACGCCCAGCTGATTTTTTGATTTATTGTAGAGATGAGGTCTCGCTGCCCAGGCGGGTCTCGAACCCTGTGCGTTTTTAAACCATCTAGATCTAGGACCTAGCCTAGGCATTTATTTGGAATAAATCAAACTTTAAAGAAAAGCAAACTCTCAATTTTACTTAAAATAGAGGTCTATAAAGCACATTCTCCAAAGGTCTCTCCAGGGGTCTGCAGCCTAAGTAAGAATATAAATCAATAATAAAAAGCAATACACATATACTTATGTGTATAACTTGAAGGGCATATATTGTATAATTTATTATAGTTTATCAATTTTATATATTTATATACAATTCATATATAAATATATAATTTATATATAAATATTATAATTTATATTTTTTATAACAACAAAAATTGGTATGCCTTTAAAAAAAAAAGAGATAGGGTCTCACTCTGTCATCCAGGCTGGAATGCGTAGTGTTATCATAGCTCACTGCAGCCTCAAACTCCTGGGCTTAAGCAATCCTCCCACGTCAGCCTTCTGAGTTGGGACTACAGGTGTGCACCACTATACCCAAAGGCATAAAAATTCATTTAAAAAAATGTTTCTAGTTATGACCATCTCTCACCTAATAGCCAACTCATTTTTTCTTTTCTTTTCTTTTTTTGAGTCAGGGGTCTCACTCTGTCACCCAGGCTGGAGTGTAGTGGCACAGCCATGGCTCACCACTGCTTCAACTTCCCAGCCTCAAGTGATCCTTCTGCCTAAGCTTCCCGAGTAGCAGAACTACAGGTGCGTACTACCATGCCTGGCTGATTTTTTTATTTTTATTTTTGTAGAGATGAGGTCTTACTATGTTGTTCAGGCTAGTGCCTTGGCCTCCCAAGGTGCTGGGATTACAGGCATGAGCCATTGCACCCGGCCAAACTTACTGTTTTCAATTTTGTAAATATGATGAAGTGGAATAAGCTTTCCAGGGACTAAATATTTTGATCTAACATATCCCAGCTTTAAGGAAGAGATATCCCCCTTTTCTGTGATTTGGCTGTGTACCCTTGTGTGGGGTTAGACCTGAGATACTGGCTTGGGTACTTACAGAGGAAGAGCTTCTTCCTTACTGAGATATTTAAGAGGCCCTAATTTTGCCTTACTTTCTTTCTTTTTCTTGTCAGGGTCTCTATCACCTGTGCTGGAGAGCAGTAGCAGGATCACAGCTCACCACAGCCTTAACTTCTTTGGCTCAGGTGATCACTCCAGCTCAAGCTCCCCCCAGTACCCGGGACTACAGGTGTGGGCCACCATGCCTGGGCCATCATGCCTGGCTAGTTTTTTTGTAGCGACGAGGTCTCTACAGACACACATCTTTCTCTAGCCCTAAAAGTGTTCCCCAGGCTGATCTCATACTCCTGGGCTCAGGTGATCCTCCTGCCTCGGCCTTACTTTTTCAAATAATATAATTCAAGAAAAAATTAATTACCATGCCCCTCTTCCTAGAAATCTAGTACTCATGTTGCACTTCTAATATATCTATTATATTAAACTGTACATAAAAATCTCTCAATTACAAGAATTACAATCTGGAAATAAGGAAAATGCTTCTACCTATTTCCTTATCAACTTGTTTTTTTGCACCTATCTTGTCTCTATGTTTATCTACATTTCAGTGGGGGTAGTTATGGATAAATGAACTCCACTGTGGAAATCTCTTTCTGTAGCCATAGAGAGTTGCTGCTAAGTTCATTCATTTTGACATTTAAATATCATGTTAGACCGTTACTTAAATGTTCAGTGTGTGCTAGTTCTATCTCTTCCAAATACTGAGTAAGCTCCTTGTGGTTAAAATAGTTGTTTTAAACTTTGTGTGTGTGAATAAATGACTTTTATATCGCGGAAGCACCTCGTCCACACTGGGCAGAGACAAAAAAAACTCTTTAATAAGTACTATTTAATTGATAAACGATACCTCAGCTTTTGCCTCCCCTCCTCCGGAGCCCCGTAACATCTGCATTTATCACATCGCCAAGATTTCCCAGACGTGGCCAATTTTCTCTTCTGCTGCCCCCATGAAGAACCGTCGCAGGTGCCACACCATACGGCTGGGACATATGGTTCTCAACAGCTGTAAGAGGAAGCCATCTCTATGGCAATCCATCGGAGAGCGATTTCTCTCTCTGGGGTAACAGATTTGGTTGCCATTTCATATACAGCGCCCGGCATGCTCAACGTTTAAAGCGACGAAAACACGCGAGTAGAAAAAGCTGGACGACACAAAATGCTCGAGAGTAAAGCTCGCCTTCGCCCAAGGCAATCCGCTTTTCCGCTCTGGTGTCCCCGTGGACACCGACAGCTCAGGGCTGCCACGCTCAGAGGGCCGGAGAACGTCCCCCCCGGAGGCGGCTGCGCCGTCCAAGCGGCCCCGGGCCGGA